CTATTCCATTTTAAGGTTTTTAATCCACCTAGAGTTAACTAAAAAAATTTTACAGCTTTATTAAAATTGACACAACATTTAATAACTTCTGACATATGTATACACCATGAAACTGTCACCTCAATCAAGGCAATGATCACATATCCGTCACACCTGAAGTTTCCTCATGCCTGTGTTCCCTTCCGCCTCCCCCTCCTCTCCTCCTTCCCCCTCAGCCCCTGGCAATCACAAATTCACTCTGTCACTATTTATTAGTTTGCATTTTCTAACATTTTACATAAATAGAATCATATGTTACATATTTTTTTTTTTTAAGATTTTTTTTTCCTTCTCCCCAAAGCCCCAGTGCATGGTTGTATATCCTAGTTATATGTCCCTCTAGTTCTTCTGTGTGAGCTGCTGCCACAGCATGGCAATCGACAGCAAGGTGGGGTGGTTCCATGACTAGCAAACGATCGTGGGCCACCAAGGTGGAGAGCACGGAACTTTAAGCACTAGGCCACCAGGGCTGGCTCTATTACATGTCCTTTTTTGTCTGGCTTCTGTCCTTTAGCATAATTGTTTTTGAGATTCATCCCTGTTGCTGCATGTATCAATAGGTCACCACTTTTTCTTGCTGAACAGTGTTCCAATGCGTGACTGCACCACAGTTTGCTTATCCATTTGCCTGTTGATGGATATTTGGCTTGTTTCTAGTTTTTTGGTTATTACAGATAAAGCTGCTATAAATATTTATGTGTAAGTCTTTGTATGGATATGTGCTTTCATTTCTCTTGGGTAAATACCTAAGAGTGATATGGCTGGGTCATATGCTAAGTGTTGAACTTTGAAAAACAAAATGGTTGTGCCACTTTATAGTTCTGTCTGCTAGATATAAATAGGCTGTGAACACTTTTCACAGATTTCCTCAAAGCGATTCCCCATGGAAACCCATCTTTCTTAGACTGCTTCCCATACTCATTTTTCTGTAGTGTAGGGATGGGTTGCTGAGCATGTAACTCACATCAGTAATCTCTATTCTTCTCCTTAGCTGAACACTACCACCATGTCCAATGCTACGGCCAATAGTAGCATGCGGCCCATCTTTGGGGGGACGATCTACCGCTCTCCTGTGTCTCGACTTCCACCTTCTGGCAGCAAGGTTAGTGTGCTCTGTACAAACACATCCCCAGCACTGTCCCAGCCTGTTTACCCAGGGGCCCCACCTATCTGTTCCAGTTTCTAAGATTCAGTTATCATTGAGATGCTGAGATGACAGATGTAAGCTAGCAAATCTGTCAAAAAACTAAATCAGAAAAAGAATGGTCCTTTTGAGCCCCACCAGCATCAGGGAAGCACGGGGTGTAACTGGGACACTCAAGAGCAGGTGATGGTGCCCCTAGGCTCAGTTTAAAGTCTAGTCTTCAGTTGCTGCTGAGCGGAGTCCCTGCATGTGGGTTCCAGCCCAGTGACACTGGATCACTAGACACAGTCCGGTACTCTCGCATATGGTGGGGAGTATGTGCTAAAACGCGTCCAGTCTTTCAAGTATTTTACAGACTGTGCTCAAGACAGGTGTTCTGCAGATCGTTTAGAATTTGTATTTCTTTAAACCAGAAGTACAGGATTCCAGACACATGAATAATATAAAGATGGTATCAGCCTTTGACAATCTGCATTTATGTGTGTGTGTTGTAGTCATTATAAGGATGATACATTGATCTGTCTTTCCTTTCTCTGCAGCCAGTTGTCACTTCCAGCTGTTCAGGAAAAAAAACACCCCATGCCAGTAGGCATGGAGCCAACAAGGAGAACCTGGAGCTCAATGGCAGCATCCTGAGTGGTGGGTACCCCAACTCGGCCCCTCTCCAGCGCAACTTCAGCATTAATTCTGTTGCCAGCACCTATTCTGAGTTTGCGGTAATTCACCTTTTCTAATATCTACCAGTCTCTGGGGAGCACACAGTTGGGGCAGAGTGGGTATCTTCCCCAGGGCACCCAGCTTTTTAGTTAGGCCGGTTCTTTGGAGGCTGAGAATCCCTTTCCTGCCTTGACCATGGCGTGGGGTGGGGGTGGTTTAAGGGGAGTATATAGGACAGAAGGCAGCAGCAACTAGACATTTACCTTGGATCCTTCTGCTTAAGAAATACCATTCCCTGGCTGCAGGAGGTGACCCTGCTGATCAGCTGCCCTGTGCTCTCTTGGTGGAGTTCTTGGTAATTGTCTTAATTCTTTGTTCTTAGAAGGATCCATCCCTCTCTGACAGCTCCACTGTTGGGCTTCAGGTCTGTATGGCAACCCCTGCATGTCCCATGTCCCTTTTCCAAACTGATCTGTCATCTGCTGGCTTCATTTCCATCTGGGCACAGGGCTACACTAACCAATAATCTCAGCTGTACTATCACAGACCCTTTTTTTTTTTTTTTTTTACAAAGGAAGCAGAAAATCCTAATACAGACTTCAAAAATAATAAATATCTGGCTTAAGTTCCAACAGACTGACTAACCTGCTGATTAACAGGAAAATTTGTTCAGACTTGAATTGGATTCTCAGCCCCACCTAAAGTCAGGCAAAGCTTTTTTATCATGTTATTTCATAACAGAAAACCTTCACCCTCCCCAATTGTGACATCAGAGGCCTCCAATGTGCTGGAAAGAACAGAGGTCCATCACGTGGGGAGGGGAGCCCCAGCTGTGTGCTGCCTATGAGGTCCTTGACCTGTGTGCTGATTATTTCCTGGAGTATATGCCTTACTAACCCCTCGGGGCTAATCACCAACTTTCCGTCTACTCTGAGCTAGCCATCACTCATTTCCTTGCCTTTGCCTATTTCTACCACATTGAGCTGCAAAAGCATATGAGAGACACTGGAAGAAAGAAATTCCAGAATGTTCTTCAGCTCCTAGTAACCTAGTCCATATTTACTAACACTTAACTGCAGTGCCCTTTACTTAACAATGTGTGTTCCCTCTTCCCTCGTATCTTTCTGTTGAGAGGTAAGCTGCTCCTTACCCTTGCGGGGATACTGAGTAAAGCCTAGGGCAACAGCTCTCCTGTTGCTGCAGTGATGGAGAATGGGACAGTTGCCCATGGTGATAGCTCATTTTGAGCATTGAAGCTAGCTTCACATGCTGGCACTTTTCTCAAATTACAGGACTGATGTGCTTCTACCTATAGAAGTGGGTGTGTGACACTCTGGCGAGCTGACTGCTGGACAGAGGGTCCAGCTTCCTCTTTTTCACTTGCTCAGCCAAGCCCCATTTCATCCACTTGGGGCTTAAATGTACCTGCTTGCCTCTGGCTAGGCCTAGACAGGTTCATCTGGTTTTGGTTGCTATGACTGGTAGACGCCACCAGGCAGCACGAAAGCCAGTAGACTAACCGCTACTAACATCGGTCTTTCTCAAAGGTCATTCATGCTTTATCTTCTGCTTCTATACCATGTGCTCCAGCATGAGATCAAATCACCAGCAGGTTACAAGGCCCTCAGCCCCAGGGATTGGTAGATATATGGTCTGGCCCATTGTTTTAGAAAGGGCTCAGAAGACCAAAGCTTGTTGCCCACCTAGCTTGACAACAGAGTATTTTGTGAAGTATAAGGGATTGCTTGTCTGTGAGGGTTTAACAGGATGGACCGGCTGAGGAAACGGTCAAGGGCATATGTGCACACGCTTAATCCGTGACTAAGAATGGTCAGAGTCCCTCACCTTTTGTTCCTAACACAGCTTGTGCTGGGCTAGGGACCTCTGTCTCAGGGAAGCAGCCCTCAGGGACCTCATGCTGACACTCACCCATGCTTACAAGGGCGGGGCGTGCATGAGAGGGGCAGTACTGCCACTGATGTTATTTATTTCTCAACAGCGAGAACTCTCAAAGGCTTCCAAATCTGATGCTACTTCTCGAATCCTCAATTCGACCAACATCCAGTCCTGAGAAGCCCTGATCAGTCAGCCAGCTGTGGCTTCCTGTGCCAAGACTGGACCTAATTAGAGAGGGGTGGTTTTCATTTTTCTTAAATTTAGGTGTCCTTGAAAGCCTCGAGAGGTTCCATTACCGTGGGCCTAACTTACAGAAGTAAATGAGTGTTACAGATGAAACTCCATAATAGGCTTAGTGGGTCCTTAGAGACTTGGTTTTATTTTTGATTCAACAAACACATTAAAACTTAGTTCATAGCATTAAGTGCAAATTTTAGCATATTGAATCTAATTTCTTTTTCTGCCCCATAATTCCTCTTGCTAAAGCACGATCAAGGGCTTGTTTTATTTCACCATTGTGTAGGAAAATGATTGACTATGCCCATCCTTGGGGTATGGGACATGAAGTAATTTTGGCTTGTACACTTATAATTAGCAATTAATATCTTTTTTGTTTAGAGATATTCAGTTAATGCTATAGCTATGATAGCTTTGCTCTCACCTAAAGGCCTGTCCCTACCACACGACAGCCTTCCACCTGATGAGGATGTCTGCATGTCAGAAGCTGAGACAGCCAAAGAGGTGATGGGGCGGCTGGGAGCTCCTTTGTTAAACTGTGTACAGTTCTGTTATATAGTGCAATGCCCTTGGTGGGGGCATGTGTATGTGAACACACATGCTTGTCTGAACTCGAGTTTTTCAGTTTTTCTCTGGGTCCCGTCCCCCATCCCTGTGCCCGTTATGCCTGAGTTCATCTGTCCCCTGCAGTTGCCAGCCAAGTTGGGACACTGTTTGGATGGGTTGGGCCATTTCTGTCGTGGAGATCTGGAATTTTGCACATGTCAGTACTGGGGAGTTGTTCCTGCTGTGGCGTCCACGATGAGGCTCCTTCTTGACCTATCCTGTCGATCACTACTGCTCTCCCCAAAGCACTATTTATTATCCTGTCTGCGCCACTACTTCTGTCAGCACATTAAATGGTTCTCAAAAGCTTACCAGTGTGGACTTGATCTTTGTCAGCCATGCTGTTTAGTCATACGTATACAGGTCCTGTTTTTAAAATATAAATATATTCTTAAGAATAAATTAAAATGTGTATACTTACATTTCAGAAAGATATATTGTGGTGTTTGGTTTTTTTCCCAAATCACTTTTTGGTTGGTTTGGTCTGCGGAAAACAGAAAAGGCTAAGAGAACATATAAGAAATTTTCAGTCGGGAGTGTGATTTTTATATTCTTTTGTGCATTTCTTCATTTAAGAACATCTTATATTCTGAGAGAAGTTTTTTGTGAGAAATAAAAAACCTAATTCCTGATGTATAAAGAGGCTGAGGCAGTGTTAGGAAACCTCTGGTTTCACTACTCTTTATCATTAACAGGACTAACTTCTATAGGGTAAGGCTTGCCTGGCTTCTTAATAACCTTTATTTTTATTATTAAAAAAACACATATTTAAAGTGTATACTTTGATACATTTTGACATAGTATATACATCTGTGAAACCATCACCACAGTCAAGTTACTTAACATCCATCACCCCTAAAAGTTTCCTCCTGCTCCTTTATAAGTCTTCCCTCCCTGCCCCACCCCCACCCCCCACTGATCTGCTTTCTGTCACTATAGAGGAGTTTGCATTTTCTAGTTTTATCATATAATAGGTATTAGTTTTGGGTCCGGCTCTTTGACTATTTCATCATTTTGAGATTCATCTGCATTGTTGCTTGTATCCTTAGTTATTTCTTTTTTTTGTTGAGTTGTATTCCATGGTATGGATATACTACAGTTTATTCAATTATGTATATTCACATTTGGGTTATTTCCAGTTTTTGGCTATTAAAAATACAGCTGCTGGGCCGGCCCTGTGGCTTAGTGGTTAAGTTTGGCGCACACTGCTTCAGCAGCATGGCTTTGTAGGTTTGGATCCTGGGCACAGACCTATACCACTTGTCGGCCATGCTGTGGCAGCAACAGCCCACATATAAAGCAGAGGAAGATTGGCACAGATGTTAGCCCAAGGCTAATCTTGGTCAGCAAAAAAAAAAAAAAAAAAAAAATAGAGCTGCTATGAACATTCAAGTACAAGTCTTTGTATGGATATATATTTTCTTTTTCTTTTGAATAAATACCTAGGAGTGCAATGGCTAGATCATACGTATGGTAAGTGTATGTTTAACTTTTTAAAAAACTGCTAAACTGTTCTGCAAAGTGGTTGGACTATTTTACGTTTGCATCAGTAATGTATGAAAGTTCCAGTTTCTCCATCTCCAACACTTGGTATGGTCAGTCTGTACAATTTTAGCCGTTTTAGGAAATTTGAAGTGGTATCTCGTGGTTTTATTTTGCACTTCTCTAATGACTGTTCATGTTGAACATCTTTTCACATGCTTATTTGCCATCCTTCTCCTTTGGTGAAGCACCTATTCACTATTTTTCCCATTTTAAAAATTAGGTTGTGTTCTTACTGTTTTTGAGAGCTCTCTATTCTGCATACAAGTCCTTTTATCAGACATGTTTTGGAAAGATCTAGTCCGTGGTTTTTCCTCTCATTCTTTTAACAGTGTGTTTGAAGAGCAGAGGTCTACTTTTGATAATGTCCATTTGTTCTTTGAATCGTGCTTTTCTAAGAAAAAGAAAATTCTAAGAAATTTTTCTAAGAAAATCTTTACCTAATCCAAATTGGTAAAGGTTTTCTCCTAGAAGTTTACAGTTTTAAGTTTTAGGTTCTACGTTTATGCCTGTGATGCACTGTGGCTCTGTGTGTATCTGTCTCTGTATGGTTCCAGGTATGGCTTTAAGCCCATTCTTTTTGCACACAGCCGTCCAGGTGTCCAGCACCATTAGTTGGAAAGGGTGTCCTATCGCCACTGCCTTGCCTTTGCACCTTTGTCAAAAATCAGTCATCCGTAGATGTGTTTCTGTTCCCTTGATGCATTTGTCCTAATGCCAATACTACACTGTCTTGATTACTGTAGATTTATACTAATTCTTGAAATCAAGTGGTATTAGTTTTCAACTTGGTACTTTTAAAAGTTATTTTGGCTGTTCTAGATTCTTTCCATTTTCATATGAATTTTAGAACCAGCTTTTCAATTTCTAGAGAAAAATCTTCAAGGATTTTCATTGGGATTACATTGGATCTGTAGATTAATTTGGGGAGATCTAACATGACAAACCCACAGACAAGGCATATCACTATTTATTTAGGTTTTTCTTAGCAAGGTTTTATAGGTCCTGTGTACAGATCTTTCACATCTTTATCAGATTTATCCCTAAGTATTTCATATTTCCTGATGCTATCATAAACGGTATTTTTAAATTATAATTTCCAATTGTTTGTTGCCTGCATATAGAAATACAATTGATTTTTGTATATTGCTCATGTATCTTGCAACCTTGCTAAACTCACTTATTAACAGAAAAATGAAAAAGAAAAAAATACTCAGATGTTTACAGATTGGCTCTGTGTTGGAGCACGCCATCAGGGCTCAGCCAGGCTCTTTACAACTCTGCCTTAGTCTTCACTTCTTGCTCCTGTGGAGCCTGAAGGCTAGCCAAAAGTGAAGCTTAGTGTTTACTCAGGCACTTCTGAGCATATATCCAGCCCTGGGCATGTGTTATGCATTCTCAATTCCCCAGTATATTGTGGGAGCTTTAAAACGCCTCTCCTCCTACATATCTATCTCCTTTCCCAACCTCTTTCTTCCCGGGTTCTCTGTATGTCTGTTGCTTGTCTCAGCTGTAGTCCCTTGCCCAGGCTGCTGCAGCCAGTACTTGTGCCTTTAAATACTTTCGGCAAAAGCTGCCCAGCCCTGGGAACACTGAGTCTGGAGAAACAAAGGCCAGCTCTTGTGATGATCCTTCAGGGAGCTGCCAGATACATTGAAACCCACAACCACAGGTCTTTAAGGACCATATTCCTCCCTCTAGTACTAGTGACCTGCACCAGAAATGTGAGCTCTCATCTTCATAGCACCCCCCCGCCAGTATGGAGTGTAGGAGATGGTAGGCGGGCCATTTAAAATACCATGGCATTCTTACCGCTAAGCAGCAGCTGCTTTCTTCACCAAGACTTCCCCTGGTGGTTGTAACTTTTTGACTAGATTTCTAGAGTTCTACAAAAGTTGATTCTGAGTTTTTGCCAGCTCCTTACAGTAGTCCCCCCTTACCTGCGATTTCACTTTCCACGGTTTCAGTTATCCATGGTCAGCTGTGTTCCAAAAATATTAGATGGGAAGCAATTCATAAGCTTTAAATTGCATGCTGTCCTGAGTAGTGTGATGAAATCTCACTCTGTCCTGCCCGGGAGGTGAGGCATCCTTTCATCCAGCTGTATATGCTACGCTTCCATTAGTCACTTAGTAGCCATCTGTTATCAGGTTGACTGTCGCAGTATCCCAGTGCTTGTGTTCAAGTAACCCTTAATAATGGCCCCAAAGCACTAGAGTAGTGATGCTGGTAATTTGGATACGCCAGAGAAGTCTGTCCTTTAAGTGAAAAGGTGAAAGTTCTCGACTTAATTAGGAAAGGAAAAAAATCATATACTGAGGCTGCTAACATCTATGGTAACTTTTATTATGGTATAGTGTTATAATTGTTCTATTTTATTATTAGTTATTGTTACTCTTACTGTCCCTGATTTGTAAACTTAACTTTATTGTAGGTATGTATGTATAGGAAAAAACATAGTATATATAGTTGGCCCTTTGTACCTGTGGATGTGGAACCCATGGATACAGAGGGCTAAGGCACTTGAGCATCTGCAGATTTTGGTATCTGGTTGGGGGGGGGGGGGGGGGGGGTGTGGTCCTGGAACCAACCCCCTGCAGATACCAAGGGACAACTAACTATCTAGGGTTCAGTACTAGCCCCAGTTTCTGGCATCCACTGGGGGTCCTGGAACATATCCCTCGTGGATAAGGGGGACTACTGTGGGTGCTTTTGTGGAGACACAGTGTCCTGGAGTTCCCTACACCATTTTCAGTGATGTCCCAATTCTAAATGTTTATGCACCTAAAAACAGAACTGAAAGGAGAAATGGACAAATCCACAATTAGGGTTGGAGACTTCACTCTCTCTCAGTAACTGATAGAACAACTAGGCAAAAAATAATCAATGTAATCCCATCATTAATCAGCTGGACCTAGTTGTAGAACAATCCATCCAGTGACAGCAGAATACACGTTCTTTGCAAGTGCACATGGAATAGTCACCTAAACAGACCATATTCTGGGTCATAAAACAAACCTTAAATTCTTTAAAAATTGAAATGATCAGGGGCCAGCCCAGTGGTGTAGTGGTTAACTTCACATGCTTCACTTTGGTGGCCCAGGGTTCACAGGTTTGGATCCCAGGCACAGACCTAGGCACCACTCATCAAGCCATGCTGTGGTGGAGTCCCACATACAAAACAGAGGAAGATTGGCACCGATGTTAGCTCAGCAACAATCTTCCTCAACAAAACAAGACTCAGAAGTGATCAAACTATGTTCTCTGACCATGATATATATATAATAACAAAAGCTCTCAGAAGATAGATACCCAAATACTTGGAAATTACATAACACTTCTAAATAGCACATAAGTCAAAGAGGAAGTCTCAAGGGAAAGTAGAAGATATTTTGAACTGAATGAATGACAATAAAAATATCAAAATTTGAGAGATGCAGCTAAAGCAATGGTTAGAGGAAAATTTATAATAGTAAATGCTTATATTAAAAAAAGTCTCACCTCGGGGCTGGCCCCGTGGCCAAGCAGTTAAGTTCGCGCACTCCGCTGCGGGCGGCCCAGTGTTTCGTTGGTTCGAATCCTGGGCGCAGACATGACACTGCTCATCAAACCATGCTGAGGCAGCGTCCCACATGCCACAACTAGAAGGATCCACAACAAAGAATATACAACTATGTACCAGGGGGCTTTGGGGAGAAAAGGGGAAAAAATAAAATCTTTAAAAAAAAAAAAAAAAGTCTCACCTCAACAATCTAAGCTTCCACATTGCAAAAAGACAAGCAAAATAACCTGACAAGACAGGAAGTAAACTAAGAGCAGAAAGCAATGAAATTGAAAAGACAAAACAATATAGAGGGAAGTAATGAAACCAAAAACTACTTAAAAGAAAAATAAATCAGTAAATCTCCAGCCAAAGAGAAAAAAAGAAAACTGATTAATAATATCAGGAGTGAAAGAAGGG